ACGCAGTACATGGTTCGGTCGCGCGTGCTAGAAATTTCAACCTCCTGTCTCCTGCTGAAGACTTGCAATTTCAGAAATCTCACCACATGTCAAATTGAAAACTTGATTTTACCACTGAAAAAGTATTGTGCTTTGTTGGCGGCTGTGTTTTAAGGCAGAACCAGTATCCGACTGTTACAGGGCCGGGGGGTCACCCAAGGTATGGCTTGCCAGATGCTGCAGCCGAACCAGATGCTGCAGCTGAGAATGATGGTGGCGCCAGCGCGGCTAAGAAGGGCAAGCCTGGCAAAGCAGGAAAGAAGAAGAAGGGCATGCTTTCCGCCAAGGACAACGGCAAGTCGAAGCCTGCAGCAGTGGCTGCAGCGAAGGCTGAGCCAAACGCTGCAGCCAAGGGGAAAGCAAAGCGCAAGCCGGCCGCGGAGAAGATCGCTGAGGACAGCGAGGCCAACATTAAGAGGACTAAGACACGGCTGCCCCTCTTTGAGTTTGCCAAGCCAGTGACTTCCCGTGAGAAAGCCAAGAAGATCCTCAGCAAGATGTTCAAGAAGTGCTTGCTTGGGGACCACAGGACGTTGCATCAGTTCCCCACAGAGGCGCCCGTTCGCATGTGCCACTACTGGACGAAAGTCCAGTGCGGCCTGAAGGTTGAGAGTGCAGGATGGCGTGAAGGGCATGCACCAGCCCCACTACTTTTCCATGTCCTCCCCGGTGGACTGTGTGTGCTCCCGGGCTTGGGTCGCAGAGCAGTTGGATTCCTGTCAGTTTGCTTGGCGAAATTTTTTTGAATCCGGCAACCTAAAGCCCTGATGGTAGGATTATCCTGTGTTGGGACTCTAGCAACGGCATCCAAGGGCACGGCGTATTGGGAGTCCCGCAAGCAGTCTGTCAGCGAAGACGCTGAGCAGCAGAGGATTGTGGAGCTGAAGCAACTTCTGACTGATTGCCACAGGGGCAGCGACTGTGCAGGATTGAGGAGCAATGCCGCATTAGGCACTTGCGCGCGCGTGTGTATCCGTGTGAGGTGGTCTGCGACAGTCCTGAGACATCTGGGGCGGTAGGTAGCCGGCTAAACATGTTACAGTAATAACAGCCTACCTCACGCTTTTGCCTTTCGTTCCTCCATCAGGCTGTCTGGCATAGCCACAGCGTTGCAGACACATGCTTGGGGTCCACGGGAATGAAAAAAAGATCTGAACGCTTGCGCAAGCCCGTTTGCACTGACGCGCTGCGTGATGCTACGCTACTTATTCTCTCCCATTTTTGCACATATTCTTCTAAGGGGTGATTTTTGCTACAGGTTACTTGTTGAAGAGTACTTAGTATGTATACACATGATTTCCATCCCCTGCCATGTACCAAATCCTGTTGTAACTGCTCCACCAATATTTGAACCCTGCCGCCTACGCCCTGAGCCCAACCCAACGCAGGTCTACGAGGGAAACGCCTTGCTTTACGTCGCGGCGCCATGCAGTCTAAAGGTGCAGCTGGCAAGTTTAAAAATCCGGGTGAACCAGGATTCGCAGGGCCCTCCAGTAAAATCCGCAGTTTAAATAGCCACCTTGTACTTGTACTAAAGGTGCATAATAGGGCTTATAGGGGTTAAGGTATACTTGTCAGGGATTATACAGTTTAGGCAATGAGGACGGGGGGCTTGAATGTGTGTTCGCTCGCATCACCTTTCCAAATCAATATACCCAATTAGTGCCATTTACTGCTCTATTTGACGGTGACCTTGAATGAACATCCTATATCGAGCAATCATAACATATATATATACATATATATATTCAAGGGCGCCCCAGTTAGACTTCTCGTGTGGTCTATTCTAGAAGTTCCTTCAAGGTCATCGAACAGCAAACATAGCCCCATAAGGCAACAGACCCTTACATACCCCAACCCCAGACAGCGCCGTGCTGAACGCTCGCTGGGAACTTCAGCTCCTGACGTTTCAGATCTTCAGTTTTTATATGGGTTATTGAAGGTTGGGATCGCTGTTTCAACGAAGGTCAGGTGGAGGACAATATTGGGGTTGGTGAGTTCAAGGTTCGTGGTGTTGTATAAGCTTTTACACAGTGGGAAGCCGTTCGCATTGGGATCCTGCAGGTTTTAGGCTGGAGCGTCCATGGGGTTTGGTTTTGAGGTCGCCTGGTATATCTTATCACGATGATATTAACATCTCGGGTTGCAGTAGCCGGTGGGACCTTCAATGCAAAACATTTTGGGGCCGCAGACCCTTACCCGAAGAACTTGGGCTATAAGAGTTGGGCTCTTCAGCAAGTGCTATAGGAGAAACGCTCCTCACGGCTTTTGAAGTTCTGGACAACACGCGCTTGTATAGTCAGCGTTTGTATTTGATGGGCCCCCTCTACGTAAAAGGTTTGGCGCGTGACTTTCTGCGCAACGGCGTATCTTGATGGCTTGATCTGGCGGTTGCATCAGTTGCAGTGCCCAGGAGCTCCCAGGCAAAGAACGAAGCGTAGGATTATATATAGGCAGTCCTGCTGAAACCCAACCACCTTGAATGCCAAACCCATCTGAGACTTTCATCCTACGCGTGATCCTGGCATTCTTCACTGAACTTGAAACGCTGCAGCGGCTGACGCCCCCTTTATGCGCACATGTAAACAAATCGACTGTCGTGTCTATATAGCCTCACAAAAGTAATCCGGGTTCATGTTTGCGCTGTCCTCGTCCCACTGGGCTGCAAAGTCACGTGATCTTTCCTGCTCTGTACCAGGGATGAAAGAGTGTGATTGCAGGGTTCTGGGTCTTAGTCTCTCCGTTCCTGGGGCTGTGGGCAAAATTTGGATTGCGCGGCCCCCTAAGGTTTATGCTGGATTGCACGGCCCCCTGAAGGTAGCCTATATATATAGCGCTTCCCGTACGATTCAAGTTTGGAACCCACTAGTACAATGCCCTGTAGACGAAACTCAAGCCCCATTTCCAGTGCTATTATAATGTTTTTTGCTTGTAGGCAATGGTCCCTCAGCCTAACAGGTTCTATTTGGAACTTGCCCTGATATAGTATTGCTGTACTCAATTGAATGTAAAGCCCTGACGTATGGAGGCCCAACAGTACATAGAGTTCTTCAGTGGGGACGCAAACGCCTTCAAGATTATAAATGCTGCTGGCTATCCATCTTGCGCAGTGGACATCCGATACCTGGACAGCCTAGATGTCAAGGGGAACGCCTATGATATCCTCACGCCGGAAGGATTTGGGCAGAGAACTTAGCTGACTGAGCTGCTTCATAGAAGCGTGCCTGACCCAAGCGTCTTGGAATTACGTATCTTCCCTGGAGTCTTTCTAAGGCTAGCTATATGGCTGATTCTCCAATGCTGCGATGATAATTTCTTGGTACTTTTCGGCATTGTTTGCTCCAGTTGGGTCACAGCCAACATGGGGACGTCAAAGCGTTCCGCGCTCTTACCTTGCGGAGATACTTCGAAGATGTATATTCGCCGGGCCAATCAAATGGCATCCCGGACACTTGGCAACCAATTATAGATCTGGAAACACTTGCGTGAGGATAGTTGCAGCGATTTGCTATGGATCTGTTCTCATCTAAGTGTCGCATTATTGGCAAAACTCGTGACAGCCAAAGGGGGGTCCTATCTGATTGAGCAGCCGGGGTCCTCGGTTCTGCAGTGGTATCCGCGTGTGCACCAGCTTCTCACAGACTCGCCTGTTGCCTGGCCAGATTTGCACTCTGGGGGGGAGCAGTCCTGGTTGGGTCTTTTAAGGTATTTGAGGTTTCTGTCCCCCCTCTTGTGAATTATAACGCAGATTTGCGCAGGCCCCCCGAAGCTATCAGTGGGAAGCCTTATAGGTTGGTCTGGGGCGGTTTTGGGGGTCCTGGACAGGGTTTTTAAAGATGGCATTCGTGCGGGTTTTGGAGAGAACTTTTCGTGTACACAACTCAAAAGGCCGTCCTTCCCTTGATTTTTGTCGGGGCGAGCGGGGGTGCTGGGGGGGTCTCGGGTAGTCTTGGGGTGGTGTTGGGGCATCTTGGGGGGCTTTTGGGCCAACAAATTCATTTTGCCAGAATCTGGTCAAGCCTGGCAAAATGCATTCCAGGGCTCTTCAGCAGGTTTTCCGGAAAACACATGGGCTGGGTGAGGTCTTGGGCGGTGTCCTTGGAGGGCGTTGGGGGTATTTTGGGGGATCTTGACGGGGCTTAGATGGGATATGGGGGGCCGTGGGCAGGTCATCAGCACACCCAACCTACAACCTTTTACACCCCAAGCAAACTGCAACCGCTTTTCTGTCCAATCCTCTGCCTCGCCTCCGCCAGCTAAGGGCTTCATGGTGTTACGGGCATTCCTCGCCCAGACGTTCTAAGGGATGGTCCAATTGCCGGACGATTTTGGACCAAACCTTGGCCGTCTTTCGCGGAAGGCAATGAAGAAGTCCTCGAAACCCCTAGCCGTTGGATACATAGACGCCAAAGGCGCAGGCGCTGGCATGGATCCAAACACATGAAGAACAGCCAGTTTAGCCCCCAGCTTCCTAGCGGTGGTGAATCATATTACCCCCCCCCCCTTCCCCGAACATTTGTTCCACACTTAAGGTCCTATCCTATTGGCTTCGGCAAGGCGCTTCGCCAGATGCTGGCCCGTTTCCTGAGTGAAGGCCAAAGAAAACACAAAGGTCCCCCGCAAGACTTTTTCGGCCCTGCCTTCATAGCCTGCATGGGCATTGAGTTTTGGACGTCTTGGCACGACTGGCCCGAGGCCAAGCTGCCTGAGATTACAGCAGCCTGCACTTCTGATTCTGGAGTATTTTGTAGCCCTTCAAGAGCAGTTAAGGCGCTTTTACCATAGAATGTTATGTCAACCCGTTCAACAACCTTTCAGAGCCCGTTCGAACCCGTGTCTGGTCAATTCATTTGCGTTTCTGAGTCGTAATTTTGTCGTATTTTCCTAAACCCGTTCAAAACCCGTAACCGTTCGAAACCCGTTTGCGAACCGTACAAACCCGTTTGCGAACCGTTCAAAGCCGTTCGCCTTTACGCCTTTATTGCGTTCCAAGCTCGCTTTTTTGTCGCCTTTGTGTAGGGCCCAAAATCATTCCAAACTCACCCTTTTTCAGCTGAAGTTGCCGGTTTTGGCCAAAATCGGGCTGAATCTGCTGGTGTGGTGCACTGCTGCTCCCAGAGCGCTTGCAATCTGACGAGAGCTTCGAGAGAATATATTGTTTTGGTAAGCGCAGATGTCTTGCGAGCGCAAGACAGATGGACAGATTTTGTTATCTTGAGTGCGTGCAGCCGCTTTCATACACAGGTGTTCCAGGCAGGTGGACCACCATGGCATCCCCCGTGCGCAAAGCCCGGACGTTGCCCAGCCGAGCCTTTAGTGGAAGCGAGTTGGTAGCAGGAGTTGCGCACACGTCTGCTTTAAGCGGCCTATCCTTGTCGTTGGGCTCACTATCCCGGGAAGAGCTGATAAAGCGTCTTGAGGCATGAATAACACGGGGAATTAATCTTCACGGGCTTCTGCTGTGATTCTCCCTAGGAGGATGGCGCATTATAATTCTAATCGCACCCTGTCAGGCAGCAGAGACTCTGCTTCAACCGAAAGCAGAAGCTCCTGCTGTGAAGGAGAAGCCTGTGACCGCTGACTTCGGGCTGCAATGTATATTGCAGTGAGAGACTTATATAAGACAAGATTGAGGACTGCGGGGATTTATGTAAGGCGAAGGTGGAGGTGTCAGCCCCTGCCAGTGGTTCTGCGGTATCTTGGTTGAATTGCTGGGGCCTCTTGACCTTAAGAAGCCCCTGAACCTGTGGGGATGGTGGGGGTTCACTTTGCTTTGGAGATTTCAGGCGCATGAGCTACTTTTCAAAAAGTGCGCAACAGAAAGAGGGTCCTGGGGGTTCACTTTGAAAACTATAGCCCTTGAAAGATTTCAAAATACGCAACACAAAACCCCTTAAACCACCCAATCTCACTACGAGGACTAGTTAATTGTTACACTATTTTTCCGGCTCAATTCCCAGCCAAGCTACTTTTAGGGTCGTTCAGCGCAGGGTATATAATAGATATCCCATTTCATAATTTGGAATTCCTATCCGTGCTGAGCATATATGGTAGGTAGACTTCTGAATCCCCAAATACGAAGCCCTCTAGACCTCCATCTAAGCGGGTCTTGCGCATTGCTGTTCCTACACCCCGTAAGATCTCAAAAACATTCCGAAGCAGTTCCAATAGTGATTCAATCCTGTTAAAACGTAATGACTACATGGCCACCGAATTCAAGGCGCCCCTGAATTCAAGGCGCCTCCAGTGACCGAGAACCAGGGCTTTCATGACCTCAGCGATGCAGATTTGATGGCGGGGCTACAGGATGCCAGAGAGGAACCAGAGAATTCTTCCAGTGATGAGGACGTGGATGGTACTGCGCTAGAAGACCCCTATAGTCTGGCTTGCGCAGACAGTGTTGCTGAAGCTTAGTGGCATTGGGGTAACGTGTGTAGCGTTTCCATGGGACTTGCTCGTCAGTACTGAATTAAGGAAAGCGAGCCCGAGAAAGTGGATGATGACTTGCAAGTCATGGCCCAGGCGTTTAATACGATCCAACACCTGCAGGAGCAACTGCAGCGCGCAGTTGCTGCCAGCAACAACGGCAACACGGTGACCCCGCCCCCACGGCACCCTGCGCCAAGTTCAATCTTCACGCCTAGCCCATGCCCAGCACGGAAGTCTTTGGCCAACCAACCAGCAGAAACCGCGGCTACCCAACCAAGCCTGTCGATGACAATCGCTCCTCCAGCGCGGAACCTCCCAGCCCTGAAACTGAAAAGGAAGCCTTGCTGCGAAAGCAGCTGGAAGCAACGCAGGAGCATGCCTCGTCCCAAAATGCCTTACTGAAAATGCTGGAGAGCAAAGTTTCCGCAAACAGCGGCCCCCTTCCAGACCCTGAAGCTAAGACAGCCACACCCAAGAAGAACAAACCCTCACCCCGCAAAGCTTCTTCAGCAGAGCATATTAGTGATGACGCAGCTCCGATTGTGACCCCCGATGGAACAGCTGTTGCCCGGCATTTCCCTTATGTAGGTCGATGTTATTGAGTTGCATAATCTGGCCCAGGCATACACAAACTTCTGCAAACATGTGAGATTTCCCCGAATCATCTCGAAGGTGCTTTCCAGGGATGCCCTCAGAATGCGCCGCCTCAGGCGCATGTGTGAGAAGAAAAAGAGCGGCAAGTGTTGGGTTCCGGACTCCATTCGCAACGAGTACGATTCTGCTGGTGAAGCCCGAGAAGTGCTGGAGCTGGCGTTGCTTGAGACGCTTAAGGACCTTTCCCGAACGCGAAACACAACCAGGTCAAGGACAGTGCCCTGAAATTTGTACCCATCCCAAGTCAGAAACCGCCAAAAAACCCTTCAGCAACAGCTTACTCGCGTGAGGCCAGCTTCATCACAAAGGTGCAACATGTCAAAGAGCGCACGGTCGCTCGCGAGCAGGAGGTTACTGGAGCTTGGCTTACGGAAGAGCGGATGAGAACCGAGAAGAAGTGGTCAAAGCTTCTGGGCCCCAATGTAAGGTGAATGTGTTAGTATAGATTTGTTGGTTTCAAGCAGTTTACTCGCATCGGACCATCAGATCCAAGGAACGACATCAAGCAAATCATCAGTTACTGCTCCAAGTTCCCAAGTGTCTTGACGAGGCTGTGAGACTGTAAAAGTTCTGAACAGAGACCCGGACAGATCAGTGTCATTCCCAATGATGGTCCTATATGCCCTATCTACCCTTTATAACCCCAAACTTCTTGAGCTGGCACTTGTGAATGTTGTTTCGTGTGTTAAGTTGGCATTTGGTATCCAGCACAATATGCCCCTGACAGACCATGGAAACACAACAACTCAGTGACTGAGTACTTCGTTGAGTTGGAGTCGACCAGCAAGCCCAAGCGCAGCCAGATCGACAAGATTATTGAGAAGACTAATGAGGTTTGGAGGGCAAGCCATTAGCAGACCCCCTAGTCCAGCATTACTGCAAACCATGCTTTGAAATATCCATACCCCAATCCATGCACCCTTTACCAGGAGAGGCCCACGGACGAGCACCTTGGTGTCGATGAGGCCCAGTTTGACGGCGACCTCAAGTTGAAGGATGAAGGTCCGGAAGGGGAAGGTGGGAACATGGACACGAGTGGCCTGCAGCAGGCTCTTCAGGGTTTGGGCTTCTTGTTGCGCTTTCTCTATATAAGTTTATGCCTGCTGCGTGCGACTCAGCTGCGCGGAGGCAAAAAATGACATCAAGCGCTATATGACCATGGTTGGCAACAAGATTGAGGCCTCAGACAAAATGGCGACACAACTGGTAATGCCTTACAACCCGGACCCCGGCCCTACAGCGGACCAGCCACTGGCTCGCAGTTTTCTTTATCCTAGGCCCCTGCATGCTCTCTGTGACCATGTTTGCGCATATCAGGTTGCACGCTGAGCTGCGCACAATCTTCAAGAAATTGGAGAGCCAACATGGAAAGCTCGCCCTGCTCGTGAGTTCCATGGAGATGGGGTCGATGGATGGTGGGGGGCTACAAAAGTTCCGGGGCTATTACAATTGAATTTCACATCATGCTTTCAATTTGAAAGCAAGCATGTTCTCGCAGTGAGCAGGATCAAGTTGGAGTTCGCTGACATTCGACAATGAATCTGTATAATACCCTTTCTACCGCACACTACGCCCACCCGATATTGATTTCCAATCCTGCTAATGAGAGACTTGGTTTTGCTCACGCAGCGAACCTATGCGCCATCTGCCCCCAAGGTGCGCGGAACTTGTGGCTAAGGAGTCCAAGCACAAGCTACTCGTTTGCAATGGAAATCAAAGGCGCGTTGGCTCCCACATGTTGACCTTTTTGGGTCCGTGCTTCCAGAATGGGCCACTAATAAGCCTTCACATCCTGAGAACAGATATCAGCCCACCGTACGTCCATGGAGAAGCCGCCCCAAAGATGCCCCAGTAGGCCCCTAAACTTGGAGATCTCCATATTTGTGTTGCTTTACTGTAGACTCGGTTTATTGCCCCCTGGACCGTGAAACCCAAACCCAACTTAGGCACCTTCTGAAGCACATCAACTCTGCCCGCAAGAAGATCAACAAGGATAAGGAATCTGAGGCTGCCAATGTCGAAGCCCCACCCAACAAGAAGCGTAAGTCAAAGAAGCCCGGCGTGTCCTCTGCTGAAGCTTCCACTCCCAACCGCCGCGCGCGGCGCAAAGCTGCTGCCTAGGAACTGGGATGGTTGAACGGATGGCAACTCGAAGCGCTTTCTTTGCCAAATAAAAAGCGTACTTGATCTAAATTACTGCCAGCAAGCCATCCATCCCTTCAGATAATTTGCCAAAGGCATTTATTCGTGCAACAGCCCTTTACTTCATGTCGCATTGCGCGTGAATGCACATGCGTGTGAAGAGTGAAATCTCTTTCTCACAGCGTGGCCTGACCTATGGCCTTTGAGAAGCTGACCCTAGACGCAAATCCCGAAGGTGCAGGCCCAAAAGGTTCTGTTCCATGAAACACGCAGCTATGGCAGCTATGATGTTCCCAAACCCCCAGTCACCTTGCCCACTGAAGTGTACTTTTCTCAACACTGGATTGTTGACCATGCTGCCTTGTTAGGGTAACTCGCTGGAACCGGCTTAGCAGTGGGACGCCAACAACAGAAAGTATGCAAGTCTCATACTGTATACATGTATACTCCATCCTCTCCATCCCCTTAGTTTTGCCCCTGCAACCCTTTGCCAGCCAGGTGTTTCTGCGACAGCCAGAGCTCTGCTGGCTGATGTGGGACGCGGTGGGACCGCAACACAAGCTGTTAAGACTGCTAAGAGTGTTGTAAAGGATTTTGGGCGAGTGGCCAAGAACTGCTCTGTCTTATCGTATCTGAGCACGAAACGCGACGACAAAGCCGATCCATGACTTCATTTTTCATGTAGCCAATCTTGTATTCGTTGAGGTTGCGGGGTTCACATGTTGAGTTTTTTGGGGGGACATAGGAAACTAAAACGCTTTGAACCCTAATCAACTGAAGAACCCCATCCCAAATAAGCGTACTGTTGACTTCCGTTTTGAGCTCGTTCAACTTCTTAAGGAGCAAGCTGTGCACTGGATTGCGGCGCAGAGCAGCCTGCGACTGCAGGTCCCCATTGCGCATGTGCGCATTTACAGAGAGGCCAGAGTGGTAAAACGCAGGAAGGCCAAGGCCAAGGCCAAAACCAAATCGAAAGCCAGCAGCTGGACGTCAGAACCGCCTCGAGAGATCCCAGCAAGAACATTGGAATTCCCGATTATTCGTGCTACAGACTTCTTGAAATTTATAGCTGCCGACAACTTCTGGACTGTGCTCTTTGGCCAGGAGGATTTCACTGCAGGCTGCTCAATGATGACCAGTTTTTGGCAGAAGTACCGTGTCCTTTTTCCTGGTTACGAACTTTTCACTAGGGCCGATCGTGGCGAGGTGGACTTGAGTCATTGTTTACCATGCCTCGTTCACGGCGATGAATGCACATACTACAGGCGAGGTGCCATAATGATTCTGCAGTGGCAATCTGTTTTCGGATCTGGAACAACAAAATGTTCAAAAGAGGCATTTGCTGATTGTTTGCTTGGTGAAGCAATCTCCCATCCCTTTGTCAATCATCGTGGGGTGACGCTTTCCTCTCGTTTGCTGATGGGGGTGCTGCCGAAAGAGCCTTGCTTATATTACATAAACGTGTTGCTGAAGGGGTAGCTCAAAAGTCTATTTGCAGCAACTACTGAGGATGAGTATGCGGACTCCCCTGAAGTCCTTGACCAGTTCCTTGAACACATTGTTGATGATCTTCAAAGTGCGCAGCTGGATGGGGTGACTCTGCGGAACGGAGCTAAACTGTGGCTCAACCCTATAGGGGTCAAGGGTGACTGGCCGTTTTTGGAACCTATGCCTTTTCAGTACATAATTTTGCGCCCTGTGAACAGCTAACAAAGCCCCATCCGAAATTGTCTAACAACAAAGGTGCATGAGGAAATTAGTGTAATCCAGACCTCTTAATGAACAATATATAACTTAACTTGAGCAACCCTTATTGTACTTGAAGCCCAGCCCTGGTGGAACCGAGGCAACTGCAGGACAGCTGAAGAGAACATTTCGGCAGGGACCAAAGGCTGCCTCAGGAAGCAAGCCGGGCAAAGGAATTTGCCATTATTGCCGTGCCGGACAACCTGGATTCGATTTTGAAGACATGTTCCCAAGCTGGTCATATTCAAGAATATGGGGGGCCCTTTACGTACTCGCATTCCAATATTAAAAATCCAAAATGAAGTTACACCAGGTCAGCCTGGCCAGCATTCATGGACACCCTAGAGGCGGAGCTCCCATGGGACCAGCCCTCTGTGTTCACCAAAACTACTTCAGCATGAGGGTGCCTATGCCAGTTTCTATCGGGTTGACCCCTGGCACGCAGTAAACCTTGGCATCGGAAAGTCATGGTGCGCGTCATGCCTGGTGATCATTCTGGAGACATTCTTTGAGGGTTCAGTCGAGCAGCGGTTGCAACAGCTTACATCTGCGTACCTCGAATTTTGTCAAAACTCGGACCCTGGACCTCCGAAAGCAATTGTTTTCAAATAACCCATATCTTAACCGCATGACAACGATTCCACCACAGCCCATGGCCTTCTCATCCCAGGTGCCTCGAAAAGTGGCCTTCATCAGACGAATCACCAAAAGAATGCTTGGTTGGCGCTCTGCTGGGGACACGCCGGAGGCTGGCTGGAACAAGGGGGCTCTAACAACGACCTTGCTACAGTTCGTAGAGGCATTTTGCAGACAGCGCAATGTGGAGGGGTGCGCCACGAATGAGCGCCTTCGACTCATTGCACTTTGGCATTTTCATACCATTGAGGATACTTTTTGGGATGGGAAGTATATAGTTTATTTGTTTTACGCGCGCGCGCGCGCGCGTGTATGATCATGCTTAGGCCAGTGGCACACGAGCCCTCAACAGCTTAATGAGATGCATGTACAGCAGCAGCTGTTGGATGTCCAAATCAGAATGCAAGACATTTATATCTGCTGGAGAACACTTTCTAGCTTCGTCAGCTCGCGCGGCGGTGATAGCGTACATTCTCAAAGAGAATCGGTTCCCCGTCACCTCCAAGCACCACATGCTTTATCATGTGATAAAGAATGCTGCGTGGCAGTTTGATATAGTTCAAACTGCCTTGAACCCCATCGTAGAGAGTTGCGCGATGGATGAGGACTATGTGGGACGCATTGCACGCATAGCTCGCAGTGTGTCCCCGCGCACGCCGTGCATTCGCACGCTGCAGCGCTACTTGCTGCAAGCAGCAGACGTGTGGTTCAGCTGAGGGCTCGGCTGGAAAATCCATCATTGTTCTCGCCCATGGTGTAACAACATTAGGCACAGTTGTGGGGGTTTTCAGAGTCCGGGATTACATGATGCAACCTTCTGGGTACACAAGTTCAGCTAGCAGGCTGTTTCTTAGGAGCCTTTGGTAGGATGGTTGGCAGGTTGCACGTGATGTTAGGTCACGAGGGGGGTGCATGGTTTCAAAGGAGCTTGGGCCACAGGGGCCCCGCACAAAATAGAAACACCACCGACCTCAAGATCCATGGAAGGACCCACGTGTACAAGTATATTGGCATTCGCTGCATCCGTTTCTATTTGGTGAACCTTCGACCGCAAAGCGTTAATCCCAAGCGATTCCACATAAAACCATGGAACCAGGCCAAAAGCAGAATTGTACAATCACCCGTTCGGGTCTAGGTTTGCCCGTTCAGGGCTGGCTTTCTATACGAAACGTAATAATCCTCGGCAGGAGTGGTTTCTGGCACAACTATGGGGTAGCAGGTAGTTATAGAACCCCGGCGACATTCCCCAACAATGACTTCTCCCGGAGTGGCCAACCTTCAGTACCCTGAACAAGCGCGACCCCAGACCCACAATGCTCAGCCCTGAACCCTCAACCCCAAGACGAGAAGCAAGAAAGGGAGACGTAAGCCACCACTTCATCTGCGAATTAAGCACTAGCGCCAGGCATATCCTGATCTTGCAAGGATTTTGTCTAGGCGTTACTAGAGTAGAATTTGGGGCCCTACAAAAATCACTTAGACTTGTGTATGGCTTTGTGGAGAGTATCTAGGGATTACGGCAGGAAAAATGCAAGTCGTTTTCTTAAGCGACAGGTGATTTGGGGTAAGGCTTTGGACTATGGATTCAGCATGCAAGTTCAAAGCAACGTATCAGCATGTGCTGATGTTACTGCGCTTTATAAACCCTAAACCCCCTAAGCTATGCAGCGTTAACCCCTTTGCTTGGGCCTCACCATAGGATCTCACCCAAGATAATCGTTTTTGGGGAGTTAGGGGCTTTTATGGTTTAGGGTTTAGGGAGTTAGGGGCTTTTATGTGCATCATCAAGAACATATAGTTACCCTGAACCTCCAAGTAATGATTTGGAATTGCTGGTGTGGCACCAGGGAAGGGGTCTTGAACCCTTGTCCGGATTGACTCTGTGATCCAAAGCAAGCCATACAACGCTCATATAACCCCAGCTTCCATTTCTCGATTGTCCCACGTGACTTTCCATGTAATTCCGTTTTCGGGCCCAGAAAGATCAACATTGGTTTTAGCTACTGGTGTGTAGTTGCCTAAATTTGTAAAATATTGGTGGATCAAATAGAAAACAAGACGCACCATTTAATGGAAACTGAATTCTGTGGTCATGTGCAGGGCTGAAAATTAAGAATGGACCTTGGAGGAGATTATATTACGACAAGGAGAAGAAATAGAAGGGGATAGTAGCGATAGCTATGCAGGCTTTCCATAATAAGACATACTAAGTTTGCAGATCCGGAATCAAGGACATGACGGCTGTGAAGGTGGTCACGTAAGTGCCGGAGCCCCAATCTTCGCCTGGGCTTGCGATTGACACGGTTTAGGATGTTGGACTTTGGGTCCCAGACCCCAATTATAATATGCTGCCTGAAGACCATCAACTTCAAATCTCTCAGTCCTCTGATCCTTGCACCCCAAATCCTAGCTGCAAGCCCTAACTCTGGTGCATTTGAGGCCCTTTCGGTTGTTTTTTAAAAAGGAAGATCACTTCTTCGGTCAGCGACTGTTGTCTAAGGTTTAGGGTTGAGAGTGTAGGCGGTGAAACCTAGGATTTACAAGGTCTAGATTAGCAAACCCACAAGACATCACGTTCTGTCTAATTCGACTGCGGG